GAGCTTATAGATCCCTTTAGGTAGTATCAACGCCTTACCAAAATCATGTCTTCCAATCCACAAGCATAGAACATTTTCCCATTTATTTAAGCCATCGTTAATCTCTTTCAGCAGCGTTATAATTTTCAATTTATGAATCCTTCACATTCCTGGTTAGATTTATTCCTAGGAATATTATTCTGCTATTGTAAATAGAATTGTTTCGCCAATTCCCCTTTTAGATTTCTCACTGCTGGTATATAAAAACCCAAGTGACTTTTGTTTGCTTGCATATGTTCCTCTAGCACTGTGCTGGGTACAGGGCTCCAGGAAGGAGCAAGACTCAGTCCTGCCCTTCAGAATTCACTGTGACAGATCCCAGGCAGGAGATAGATACACTCGGTTCTTGAATGAATCTGGAACTTCATCCACGAAAGAGATGTGAATGGGTCCATGAAGGGTGATGCTGAGGCTGCAGAAGGGTCTGAGGTGGGCTGGGGGCCAGGAGAAGACCAGAAAGATGAGTAGGGTCTGGTTTGGGGATGAGGGGAATCAGTGTGCTCACTAGGGGCAAGGCATCTGCATGCCAAGACCCAGAAACCAGAGCACAGAGGGTTTGGGATGGAAACAAACTCAGATGCTGACAAGGCAGAGGGAGCAGCACAGAGGCTGGGAGGGTGTGTGTGTGAAGTGGGTGTGAGTGTGGGCTGTCGAATCCAGTTGGTGGAGACAAGAAGGATTACAAACTACATTTGGACTGCAGCAGGGAGCCATTGAGGATTTCAAACGGGAAAAATGGCAGTTTCGGAGTCAGGATAGAAAGATGCTTTTCTTGCAGAACACTTAGGAGGAAGGGCTCCTAAGACCACGGATTCTAGGCAGAGGATACCAGGGTTCTGGAGCAGGACAAGGAGCCCTGGTGATGTGGGGTGTTCAGTGTTGGGCAGCCCAGGGAATGACTTCATCTGCTGCTTCCCGGGAGAAAGACACGGGATTTTTCAGCCTCAGAATCCCTAGGGTAGGGTCTCTGTGCATTGGAATGCATGTCGGCACTGTACCTCGTTTTGGGCCAGGATAGGGGCCACGGGGAAGGCAGAAAGGGGCTCATTTGGGATGAAAAGCTCAGGGCCCCAACACCTGATTGGATGGAAGAAGAGGGGGAGGTCTCGTGTAGCTGGCTGACCTGGGCGGGGGCACCAACAGGAAGCCAGGGGAGGAGTAGGAAGGCTGCGTCCTGGGGTGCTTCCAGAGAGGAATCTAAAGTGTTCAAAGTATGGGGTGGGGTTACCCCAAAACCCGCTGGTGAGCACAGAGGGGTGGGAGACACAAGAAACAAGGTGGGCAGGTGGTGTGCTGGGAGAAGGTGTCAGCAAAGCCTGGGAGACACCAGGTTGTGCCCCCCGCCCCCCCGCGGGCAGAGAGGGGTTAGATGCTAAGCGTGCGCTGAGCCTCTGGGGTGAGGAGAGCTGTGAGGGTGGAGGTGCGTGGGGTAGTGTGCAGGAGCAGAGGAAGTGGAAGGTTGATGGAGGGTTGACCCCCCACAATAGAGCCAATGCAGCAGCCTAGCCCTTTGGTCACTAAGTGGAGGGAGGCCTCATCAGACCCTCTCCCTCCTTAGGAGACCTCAGTCCAATTGGGGAGACAAGAAGGCGACCCTGGCCTGGAACTCCGGCCCTCGGGCCTGGCAGCTAACTTCAGACTTTTTGGTGGATTCTTCGAAAGGGTCCCTGGAAACACTAAAGGCTCCCTCAATCTCTTAACCAGAGCCAGAGGGCGTCTGCTAAGGTTCGAGGCCTGGACTTGGCAGTCGGTGTGGCCAGGGCAATCCTGGCCCTTTGTTAGCCCGCTCTTTTCCCGCGTTGGAGGGGACTGGGGTGACCCTGGCCGATGACTTCCTCGAGTTCCCCTCCCGGCCAGGAGCGCGGCCAGCTCTCATTACCGCCCCTCCCCCAGGTGCCGGGGGTCCCCGCGGCCGGGGAGGAGCGGCCTATAATCAATCCCAGGCCGGAAATTCTTCCCGAGGGGCCCGGCCCGAGCTGCCGGCTTGGGGGGTGGGGGGGACCCGGGCGCGGGACCAGGAAATGATCCCGCCCCCCGCATCATGGAAACTGGGCAGCGAGCCCGGGCCGCCCGGCGCGCGTTGCATTCCTCCCTCCAGGACGGGAGGAGGGACACTGGAGCCGACCCCCTAGGGCTGTTGGCGGGGGGGGGGGGCGCGCGCAGCCCTTGGACCCTGCTTCTTCCCTGGGGACACCAGCCACTTCTCTGCTTCTTTGCGCAGGAGAATGGAAAGGCCGGGGCACGATCCCCGACCCCCCACTAGATGCCGTCCGTTTCCACAGCCCACTCCCACTCCCCTCCACCTCCGCATCCAGACACCGCGCTCGATGCTCGCCCATTTCACAGACTGAGGCGGTGAGGCTCAGGAAGGGCGGTGGGTCATGACAGAGCGCAGCCTGGGGCTGCCTCCTCCAGGAAGTTCCCCGGGCGGCTCTGCACAAAGACGCTCTCGGATCCCCCGTCTGCACCGCCAAGCTGCAGAGCCAGGCAGCAGGCTCTGTGGGTTCCCAGGTGGACGGCGTGACCGTCTCAAGTTGTTGGGAACGATGCGTACGGGGCGTGGGAGGCGCGGGGACGCAGTGCTGGGAGCCCGAGTCCCCCAGGGTTCTCACGGCGCTTACAAGCGGGCCTCACACCGGAGGCGCCGCCTCCTCGCAGCCGTCGAGCAGAGCCTGGCGCGGGACACGGTCCCGGGTCCCGGGGGGCGGGGGCCGGGGCGGGGCCGGGGGCGGGGCCGGGCCGAGATTCCGCCGAGACGGCGGCGAGCCGAGTCTCGGAGCGCGGACCGGACCCGACCAGCCGGGGCGGCGGCGTCAGGTGAGTAGAACGCGGCCCCGGGCTTCGCCCCTCAATTCGCCCAACTCTTTGTTTCCTTCAGAGGCCTTTGGGACGGGAACCAGACACCCCTTTTCCTCCGTGCCCAAGTGCAGACGCGGGCGGTGGCCGGACCCCCGAGTGCAGAGGACCTGGTCCCGAACGCCAACCCTCTCGCTGAGACTTGTGGGCTGTGTCCCAGCCACGACCCACACCCTCCAGAGCCTGGAGCTCTCTGTGGGTGTCCCTATCTCGCTGCTCTGCACTCCCCCCTCCTTTCCTTGTAGGACCGTCCTGGGGCTCAGAAGTAACCCTCGGGAGTTGTCGGTGTGGCTGGAGACGACGGGCTGGCCACTCCTCTGGCTTCGAGCTGGGGAGAGGGTTCCTCGCTGCAGACCGAGCGGGGAACGGGACTCGCCTCCCGGGATGCTCCAGCGGCCGCGCGAAGGGCGCCCAGGGTTGGGCCGGGGTCGGGAAGCCTGGCGTCCGGCCTCCGGGGTGTCCCCCCTAGGCCCACTCTGAGCAGCGGTGTGACCTCAGGAAGGCCTCCTCTGCCTCTTGGACCATAGTTTGGTCTCTGAAACCAGACTTTGGATGCGCTGGGAGCTGCAGCTCCATGCTAGGCCCTGAGCCTTCAGCGCCCCTGTGGGAGGCAGGATGGGGGTGTCAGCCTTGAATTTCAGGGGTGCGGATGCAGAGTGGCCAGAGTAGTAGGGGCCCCTCCCTGGGGCTGTTTAGAAACTCGGCTGCGGGGTGAGGGCGTCCCCTGGACAGCGAGGTCCTACCCATCCTCTTCTGTGACCCAGGCGCTGGGATGGGAGCCCAGTTCCCCCCCTCACCCTCCCTGTCGTGGGGGGCCACCCCACACGCAGCCTGTCGTCTTCTGCCAGGGTCCGGGTTCAGTTCTCTGGCCGCAGAGCAGGCCAGGCCAGCGGCCAGCAGGAGCTTTAGCCGGGCGGCCTGGGACCCAGGGGCGCAAGGGCAGTGCTGTCCCAACCGGGACGTGGGCCACCAAGGCCTCAGGCGGAGGAGGCCAGAAAGGAGGCCAGTCGGCGGGAAAGGGGGATGATTCATTCCGAGAAGCCCGAATTGGAAACGTCGCAACCTGGGAACAGTCTTGTCTGGCCGACAGGAGAGCAGGGAGGGAAGGCCGCCGGTCGAAGTCCCGGGCCCAATCTTTGTCTCCATTCCTGGTTCCAGTCGGGCTTCTGGGGAAAGGAAGTCTCTTCTGCGTTGAGTTAAAGAAATCCTGGCCGCCTCCTCTGACGCCTTCTCCGAGTCTAGCTCAAGTCTCTCTTGCTGCAGCCTCCGTGCTGTTTGAGGAGGTCTGGAAGGAGGGGGCAGGCAAGAGGCTGGAGTCAGTGACATCCCCTCCTTCCTTCCCACGCTGCGGTATGTGAAGCGCAAGCTGGGGAGGGGAGCTGGGGGGGGGGGACGCGAGGTGGGGCTGCGCGCACCCCCGGCTCCCCGGGGCGGTCTGGATGCCCCCTCCCTCCTTACTACGATGTAGCCACGTGCGGGGGAGGGGCCGAGTCCCGGCCTTACTTACCCTGGAGGCGCCGCTGCCCGGGGCCCCAAGGTTGCCGAGGACCCCCAGGCCTGCAAAGGGGGCGCAGGAGGCCGCAACCCCGCAGCGGGAGATGCGCCAGCCGCGGGCCGGCGCCCCCTCCTCTCCTCTCCACCCGCGGGCCGGGCCAACTAGGGCTCCAGCCGCGCGTCCCTGGCTCGGAGCGCCGCTGCGGAAAACCCGAACGGGGGAAGCTCGCCGCCTCGCAGCCCGGGAAAATCCGGGGGTGGCCGCCAGGGATCTCCAAGCGGCCTGGGCGAGGCGGCCCGGGCTTCTCTTTCTGATTTGGAGCCGGACTCAGGCGTCCCGACCCTAGGTCCGTCGGTTCAGTCCCGGTCTTCCACCTTCTCTCCGCAGAGCTCGCAGACGACGGCACGATGACGGCCGGGAGCCCCGGAGACTGCGGGGAGGCGCGCCG